AATAACATAAAGAACATTATATATTTAATGTACACTATAATTACTTGTATATCATAATTACCATTCGTTACTTGCATAATCGCACATTGAATAACATAATATTAATTTAGTAGAAAGGACAAATTTTTATTACGTTAAAAATCATTTTGTCGGTCTGCAGTTCCTGTATGTGTGATACTCTTATTCAGGAGTCATATGAGTGAATTTGTCTCTTTGTTTACAAAAGAAATGAAATTATTGATGCAAAATAATTTTTGTAAAGATTTCTTTAATTAGTTTCTTTAGGTAAAAATAAATTATTTTCAATCATAAAAAGATTCCTGTTATTTATATTTTTTTTTTGTTAAAAGAATAAACCTTTTTTGAAAAAAAAAAAAAAAAAATCTGCACATAGCATATGAACAAATAGAGCAACAGTACATTTGTTTTCACATGCGAACGAAGATCAATGAAAACTAAAAAAATTACGCCATTAATAATTTTTGAAAATAAATAACGCGTCAAATTTATTTAAATTTTTTTTCAAAAAAATATTTATAACAAAAAATTTGTAAATTATAAATTTACCTATACACTCAAAGCAAAATTAAATTTAAAAATGAACGATAACAAAGATAACAAAACAGCAATTTGCGAATATTCGAAAGCGCACAATTATTCTCATTCAGCAAGAATGAAGATGACTAAAAGTGCACCCGGTCAACTTCAATGTTGTATCGCCGATGAAGATTTTATAAGATTCAAGGTTTCCAGTACCACCACAAAGTCAATTAATTTGACAATAAAAAAGAATAGAACTTTAGCGAACAATGATAATTTGAATTATTTAGAGCTTATTAAGGAAGAGGAAGAAGATGAAACGAGAAAATTAGGTGATGATGATGACGACGATTGGGAGGATGACAAAATAGATGAGGACTATGAGAAGGCTATTTGTAATATTTGTACAGAAAAAATAGGAATATATGCAACTTCACAGTGTAATCATAGAATATGTTATGTGTGTTGTCTTAGATCAAGATTTTTGTTTAAATCTTTTAATTGTGCATATTGCAGAGTAAGTAACCAATCAGCCAACCCTATTAAAATAAATTCTTTACTAGCTAGTATTAATTAATACATTAATATTTCTAGACATATCAGCATCAAGTTTTTTTCACAAGAAATCCAAAGAAATCTTTTAATTCACAACATAAGCAATTGTTTTTTAAGCTACCAAATCTTGATATATTTTGCGAAGATAAATCAATATACGAAAAATCAATGGAATTTATCAGACTCAAATGTCCAAAGGATGATTGTCGTTTTCAATGTAATAATAATGAAAATGGATTATTTGAACTTTTAAATCATGTTAGAAAAGTTCATAAGTTAACTTTTTGGTAAGATTATATATTAATATACATCTTTTCTCATAGATTTTATCCAAATCATCCAACCACTGATTCATTCATTTTTTTAATTTTATTTAGTGAATTGTGTCTATTTAGTAGAAACCTTTTTATCAAGGAACATAAATTATATACAAAGTATGAATTGAAACGACATTTCCATGGAGATAATTCTATAGATTCCAAAAATTTCAATTTTAAAGGTCATCCGGCATGTAAATCTTGTAATATAATATTTTATGACCATATATTACTTGACGAACATTATTCATTCTGTCGTGATAGTAATCACAACAATCATGGTGGCAGCATCCTTGACAGTAGAAGAAGAAATGATGAGGGGGAAGAAAATCAAAACGAAGTAAATTTATTGTTTTTAATGATAGGTGTTATAATTAAGTCTGTACTTTGTATTGACTATTATATGAACTTTAAATTATTGGTGACTTTGATATTCTGGTTGTGGTTTGCAAAAAATTTATTTATTTATTTATTTATATCAATGTTTTTATTAATGTTTGCAATATGATCAATCTATCCATGTTAAATGGCCAGAATAGTTCAATGCATAATTAACAATCCAATAAACATATCTTTT